GGCGTCAGGAAAGGCCCCGCGCGCTGCCGCCGCTCCGCGGACGAGCAGGCCTCCGCGCCCGCCGAGCCTCCCGCCGTCGGGTAGGGCGCCGAGTAGGATCGCGGCACGGCGGCCCGAGCACCCACCGCCTCGGGAGCGCTGGGACTGGCGTCTCCTAGGAGAGGAAGGCAAGAAGGGAAGGGAGAGGAGGGGCTCTCAAAGCCCTTTCTTAGCCCAGCCTGGGAGGCAGGCTGCCTCTTCTCACTCCCTTCCCATTAAAAGCCCTACGCTCATTCCTTCCCCCATAAGAGGTTCCTGACAGAATCGCTACAGTGGCCTGCAAGCCCCTGCACGGTTTCCCTCACCCATCCCCACCTCGTACCGTCTCCTCTGTTTGTAGGAGTCCAGCCCCGCTGGCCTCCTTAATGTGTACACGCTCCGGCCTCAGGGCCTTTGCATTGGCTGCCCCCATACCCGGAACACTCTGCCCCAAGTGTATACCTGATTGGCTGGCTCCCTCCTTTACTTCAGGTCCCTACTCTAATACCACCGTCTTAGCGAGGACCCCTCTGGCCATATTTTCTAAAATTGCAACAACCCTCCCCAACACAAATGGACAATCTCTAGCCCCTTCCTTGGTTTATTTTCCTAGAACACGTCAATATCTAACGTCCTTTTTCCTTTTTCATCTTATACGGTAACTGCCTCTCTCATTAGATGGTCAGTTCTCTAAGGGCTGGGATTTGGGTCTGTTTTGTTCAGCTGTTCAGAGCTGTTTTGTGCTGAGCGCTTCTTGTTTTGGGTCGTCCAGTCAATTCTGGTTCATAGAGACCCTAAGTGGCAGAGCAGACCTGCCCCCATAGGGTTTCCTGGGGACCGTAAAGCAAACCAAAGCTGCTGCTGTGGAGTGGAGTCCGACTCAGGGCAAGAACAATGCGTTACTGATTAGAATCACCGCTTTCTTCCACAGTGCCCCTGGGCGGGCTTGAACCACCAACCTTGGGGTCATTAGTCTAGCACCAACAGTCTGTGCCACCCAGGGGACCTTAGCTCACAACTCACTTATATAAGTGAATAAGGGCGGTTTTTATGTACCTGGGGGTTATCATATGCTAAGTCCAGTGCCTTAGGGCAGAGGACATCCCTGCAAGGTGGACACTGTTAGGATCCCATTTTAATAGAAGAAATGTTGTTGTTATGTGCCATCGAGTCAGCCCCGACTCACAGCGAGCCCTCCTTGGGTTTCTGAGGCAGTATCACTACGGAAGTAGATTGCCCAACCTTCCTTCCGAGGAGTGGCTGGTGGCTTTGAACCGCCAGCCTTCTGGTTAGCCGTCAGGTGCCTTAGCCACTATGCTACCAGCCCTAATAGAAGAAATGGAGGCCCGGGAAGGGAGGCATCCCCGACATCCCACACAAACCATCACAGCAGCGCTGGAATGGAGACAGGTTTCATCCAGAAGCCTGTGTTCAGTACCATTTGCTGTGTCCGCTCCCTGGCCCTCAGGACCCCAACCCCACCCACCTTACCTAGGGACTTGGGCCGCTCGCTCGCATAGATGCCCCGAGGTTCAGAGGGACCCAGGCGTCCGTAGGAGCCAGATCCAGAGAAGCCACTGTCCCCACAGAAAGTTGAGGGTGGTGAGTCTGGACCTCCTGTGCAGCTGGGATCTTCATAAAAGCCTAGATTTCCGGGAGGAGGGGGAGGAA